TCAGCCGACGTCAAACAATAATTTCAATCACACATTCTTAATTACAATTTATTATTATCCAGAATTTTGCTACACGTACATCGAAATTGACATTATAGTGTACACTCTCCTCACATGTTGATGGATCTCACGATTTTTTTACTGTAGTGGGCCCTCCTCATGTGAGAGGGCTCGTACACCAGAGTGTCAAGCTCTGTGTACAAATAGCATTTTTTTATTTTCCATACATTTCATAAATTCTATTTATTAACCATTAATTAATTTGGCAAACAGATGAATGAGACATTTTGTTTTAAAATAAACTTAACATTATGTCTAATGACCATTATATCAACATTTTTGAAAGATGGATATATTTTTCTCTCACCTAAAGAGTTACTCTAAATGAAAATCCTTCCATGGTTTTGGCTTGTCCTATGTCTAAATTTACCTATTAAGTAAAAATAGTAGTATTGATAAATATTATCGATCGAGAGAGAGAGAGCTACATTTAGTGCCTATTTGGCCCCTTGTAAAGTTTTAAATTATTTGTTATAGTATTATTCTCCATCACACATTCATAAAATAAAATATTCTAAATATAAACTAATATAACTTTTTTATTTTTTAATCACACATTTTTGAAGAAATACTATTCAAAACTCTTTAGTTTTTCAAATAATGAGTGACAAACATGGGATTAGGAAGATGCTATCACCCTAGTTGTGTAAATTTGGCTTGCAGGCCCGAGCAGCTTGTGTCTTGGCTTTGAAAAAACCCAAGCAGGCTCTACTCCAGTCGAGGAGCCATCTAAGCCGACTAGTGTCACAGGCCATTTTCGACTCAACACAAAAATAGAATTAAAAAAAAAAATCAATGAAATGATAAAAGGCAGCCACGTGCAGCTAGCTTGTTAAGGCAACACTAGTTAGGAAAAAATACGTAATATTTTTAAAAAATACATTTTTCAAATTTATTTGTATGAAGAAAAATTGTATAAGAAATATTTTATTCGTATTTAATTTAACTTCGCCTACATTGATTGTAATTGGTCCCAATTCTTAGAAAGGAGGAAGGGTGTTCCTTTTATTTAATTTATAATTTGTATAAATTACACATTTTAAATTCTGTAAAAAAAACATTGGATTTGTCTCCACCCGACTCTGCTGGAGTCGAGCCTAGATTTTTTGACGCTCGAAGCCAAAAAAGTTTAAATCATTTTTACTCAAGTCAAGACCGAGTTTTGAGTTTCGGTTCGCAATTTGACTTGACTTGATTCGTTGACATCCCTATATTACCCCCAGAATGCATCTCAATAAAATGTGCAATTTTCTCAACGGCTATGTAAATTGGCATTCATACATAACATCAATGTTTATGCAACAACCAAATTTCAGATGCTTGCACTTCTCTTCATCCTGTACACGAGTCAAAAATTGGATATACACAACATTAATATCCATACACAGGCACACAGCTACTAACTTGTTGCTATAAAGTTTACAAAGGGCTCCGCGAGCGTCCTTTTTTATACAAACCTCATAAATGTGCATGTCGGATTCCAAACTCAAGACAATCGCACATATGAATTGACAAGAAAGGCACAAATTATGCATATACGAATCATTCAATCTGCTTTACGTGCAATTCTATCTCCAACGGCTGCGTCCAACCCCAGATTATTAAGGTAGTCGAGCAGACATTTTTCCTGTGAAGCAACAAATTGAGAACAGTGAATGAAGATGTTTGTTAAGAAGTGTATAAAGCGTTCTTTCCAAGCGTGCCAGGTTAACTGGGATAAAAGTGGAAGTGTCACATTTTTATTTATATATCTTGCATGGAAAATTTAAACAAAAAATAAAAAAGCCAACAATCAAAACCCGAGGGGCATTGATGAGTCCCAACTCCCAAGACCCAACAAATAATATCTGTCTCCTATCCTTTACCCTTACTTCTTTTCAGGAAAAATTAGAGGGCTCGCTCTAGCCAAATGGCTCGTCCGAGCCATGTCATGTCAGCCCACCTGGGCTTGGACAATCCAGCCCACTTTACACCTATGTACGTAAATAAGTAAATTTAAAAAGAAATTCAAAGAAACTGAGGATCAAACCTGGAGTCTCTAGATCTTCGAGCCTGCTGATGTTCCCAGTTTCCCTGCTATTAGCTTGAATCTCGGGGCAATTCAGTTCCAAAGATTTACCCAAACTCCTTGATTCTGAGTTGATTTGGAAATAAGCAGATGGAAGTTTCTGATAAATCTCTTCCATCCTCCCAGAATGCTCATCTTCCCGATCCATATCAATGATTGTCTGTAAAGATACTAGCATGTTACAGATAACTAATGTCATGAAAAATAGATAAAACTTGTGTTTCTTTTTCTTTTTCGTGCAAAAATGTACTATCCTTAAGTGTAGAGTAGGGTTGAACAATGCTCGGGGTTACTCAAGTTTGCTTTTTATTTCGTTTGATCACTTAAAATCCTTTAGTTTCTACAATAGAATGTCTCCCATAGAAGATAAGTATGAAGCCTTTCCTGTGGGACATTCCATTGGAAAAACTAATGGATTTTTAACTATGTGACCAAATTGAAACAAAAGGCAAACTTCGGCGACTAATTTGGAAGAAAATAAAGTTCAACAGCTAGCATGAAATTTCTCCATAAGAAGAGTAACTAGCAATGTTATTTATCCTATGTAGTAGTGTCTTTGCCTGCCAGAAATTACCTTTGCAGGCGTCTTCTTAAATACTGGGTGAAATCGTTGCCTGCAATACTCATGGAACAAGAGCGTGCATATGATCAGTGGAATGGTGAAACTCGATGCAATTGGTGACCGTTTGATTCCAAAAACTCCCAAAGCTATTATTTGTGTCAGCACCAATGAAAATATTGTTGTATTGTGTATGATTGGCCAATACAGCCCCCCACTTTGATATTTTGTGACATATACATCAAGAATCTGAAACATACATTTCCAAATTGGAATGACAATCCAAAAAGCAATTTCAAGAATGCCAGAAATAGAAGAAAAAGATCAGAGGAAAAAAAAAAGGGGAATCCCCCCGGCCAAAAATAAGATGAGGAGAAAGTCAATTGAAACTTTACGAAGAGAAACTCATCGTCTTATCTACTCCCCCTATATTACCTTTGTATCCACAGAACCAAGAAGGAGAAAGTAATAATAATAATAATTTTTATGTTTATTTTATTAACTTACCCCTTTTGCTAGAGTTAATTATAATAAATAGGAATACTATTGTTGAATATTTCAGACATTGATTTTTGGTATTCAATACTATTGAGATTTTTCTATAGTAATGTTTCTCTCTCTCTCCCTAATTCTTCTTCCTGTAATCTCTTCCAGTCTACCATTCTACATCAGAAACACTGGTTAGAGGTCAATAGAAGATTCACGAAATTTTTCACATGATTATCCAATAAAATCTATCAGGAAACACAGTAATCAGGCATCTAGAGATTAAAAACATTAGTCATAATAGTTACACCAAATGATAGATATTCCACATAACTAGACAACAGTGTGTTATATCTTATAATGCATTTTTTTCCTGCACTTCAAAATTATCAGTGTATATTACTGTATGCATGAACAACGCAGAAGAGAAATTGCACGAAGATGGTCAAGTACATGGTACAAGCACACAGACACAGAGATTTTCTAACTGTTAGCATTATAGTGTGAAGTAAATAAAATTTCTAAGAGATGTCTCAATGTACCACCGTCTCTATCAAGAAATAACTCAGTAATCATGCGCAAATCAAGCATAAATGATCAGAACAGGAGACAAGGAACATGAGCCTTTCAAATAGGTGAACATAAAAGACGCAAGTTTTACAATACTCTAAACAAAAGACAAAAGCACATAGTGAAAATACGAATAACAAAATTCATACTTCTTTACACTAGCAGAACTTCTGAAAAGAATTAAAGTAAAATAAATCTGTATACAAGTCAACAAACATAAAAAAAGTTCTTGTGAGGGAAAAGACATTAATGCATGTTACAAAAACTTGTGCGATCATTCTTAACTGTGTGAACTGGAAAAGGTTTAGAAAGAGTGGAACACATCCATAGGAAATGCTCACCTGATTACGGTACACCAAATAGGCAAGGAAAAAGTAAACCAGCAAGAAGGGCAATATCAAAGGAGCCAATACTGAACAAGTGAAGCCCAGAAGTCCAAAGAGGAGGACTCTTGGAACTTCTGTGTGGTATGGAAAGGTATAAGAGCCATAACTTGAATCATCCTTGTTTCTAAGAATAAATCTATAAAATGAGTTGTAGAGAAGAGGAAATGGCTGAATCAGTTCACAGGACAAGCTAGCCCAGCCTGAGGTGAGGACATAAGTCACAAAGAAGGTAGCCTGCGAAAAATAAAATCATAAGTGCCATGAGATCTCAAAATATACAGGTTGTTTGAAAACATGAACAATGCAGCACGAGCAGTTCCAATCTTATGTGGATAAATTTACTGAAAATATTGACAATAAAAGGTTAAAAATGTAGTTCCAGTTCCATAAAAGCTTATTTCAACGTTCAGAGACGGAATGGCCAAATGTCGATGACCATTTTTAAAGAATAAAAATGGCAATTCAAGGTCAACATTACAATACATTCTTATACACTAGAATAAAACCAACCATGATGGTACTATAAGAGAAGAAGTGAAAATTTAAGACACAACAGATCACCGTTGATGGAACTGCTTTGGCAAGCTGGTTAGGTATCGTTTTCGGATCTCCCAATTTCATAATTGAATCTTGATAATGGTCAATGGCAGCCTCCGTTAAAATATTGGCAAAGAATACATTCCATATTACAAAATAAAGGACTTTAATGCATGTACTTCTTTTCCTGCCACTACGAGATATTGAGCCCTCCAATGTTGAAAACACCATCATAATTGGCGGGACAATAGACAAAAAGATCATGAGTATTACGCTTGGCAGATATCCAGTTATCAGCTGTTTCATAAACCTCCTGCAAGAAGGCAGAAGGGAAAATTTTTTAAGTCCTAGTCATTAGAGTTAGAATCTGCGGATCACAAAATTGTCACCTGCTTCTTTTAATCTTTTGAATCTTTAAGTATATAAATATGTGGTACATGTTAAGTGGGAAAAAAGGACAGATGAAGAGAAATAACCGTGCTGATGGGGATCCCTAAATTTGCTATATTTTCCTTTCAAATACAAATAAAAATTGAAAATGGATTTAGTAAAATTGCTTTCCCGAGACTGATGTTAGAATCTGCACATATATTTTCTCTAGTACATAAACACATTTGAGGTTAGTGAACGTTATTAGTTGATCACCACCCATTTTAATCTTTCTTGAAGCCCTTCTTTCCTGCTACTTCACCGAGTAAGAACCAATACCAAATATGCATGTCAGTTACCAATTGTAACGGAAAAGGGACAATTGAACTGACTTCTAAAGTAGAACACATTACCTCTCTGTAATGTCCTTCATGAAGGGAAATATTTTCTCCACCTTATCGAGATGAACAAGACTTTGCGTGAACACCACAGGGATAAGGAAGAAAGTAACAAACAGAATAAAGGCCACTAGGATGGCAATCTTACGGATCCAAAAGATTCGATACGGTACATATAGGTTTGACCAATATATATCACTTGGTTCTGGAGCCAAGTCTGTAACCCATGACATTGGATTAGGTTGTTGAAGACCCTCTGAAGCAACCAAAGCAGCATAACGTGTCCTGAAGAAAACCAGAGCAACTCCACACTCCTGTAGGAAAGATCAGTCAGCTTTAAACTTCTGAGATATTCAATCCGACAATACCATCAATAGTAGCACTAAAAACCTAGCTGGCAACAAACATGACACGCTCAGCAGATGCATGAAAAGGAATTAGGGACTTCCACACAATACGATGATCTTCACTAACAAAGGAAGAAACACATTGCAATTTCACAAGATCAAATAAAAATTAATTGCAAGAATTCACTTCAACATCAACATGAATCTCTTATATGCCCACTAAATTTCAGCATAAGTTTCCTTACTTAAATTTGACCATATTCAGATTTCAAAACCTTTATGACCATTTGTACAAATTACTGCATACTTTTCACAATTTAATTCCTTTGAAACAAGATGGATTTTCCTCAAGTCACACCACTAGTCACTCCAATTTAACATATATTCAAATAGAAAGAATTTACCGAGTCAACAACTACTGTTGACAGATACAGAAGTTAGACAATAGAACATATTCACAGAACCAACAGGTGCAATCAAGTAGAATATTAATTTCCAAGGCATAAATATCACAGAGGACAGATTGAATTTTAGATGGTGTATAAATGAATTTATTTCAATTTGTAATTTAAGGATAGAAGCTGTTAGACTACTGCAGAATACAGAGATGAACATATATCACTTCCTTTATCCTGAATTTAAATTTAAAACGAGAAAATGTTTTTAGGCTCCAGATCGGGATGGGCTGGTATACATCTCAATATATTGTCCATTAGGGATCAAAAGAGCCTAAAAATGAACTAAAGAAAATCTGGATGATATTTAGCAGAAGAACAGTGCAGTTGGTATCTGAAGAAATTAATCTAGGTTGTAAATATTTTTAGAAATTCAGACCTTTTCCCTTAAATCTGGACTGTCAAGGCAGCTTGTAGTCCTACCATTTTCAGGCTCGGGAGAAAGGATCTTAAAAGAAGTTGAAGTTCCTCCACAAAAGCCACATCTTAATAGTCGTGATCCATAATGTTGGTCCATGCTGTTGGACTTGAGCATATTGTAAATCTTCTCAGCGTCAGTCTGCACCCAACAAAACCAAAAAATCAATCACTTAGAAAAAGAATACATGGGGAAGGTGACGGTTTAAAGTAAAAGAAATCTCATAGCTATAACTCAGATATTTTAATAATCTGAATCCATTTTGGAGTCTAATTTACTGGTTTAAAATGCTTAAACATAAGTTATCAACTCGTAGGCTTGTAGCTACTCATGTCCTTAAAAATCATCTATGACTTTTAACCAAATGTGTGGAATAGAATTTTATGAAGTCCCTTATCGACAAATGTGACAAGCTCTTCTTGGCCCGTAAAAAGCAAGCTACTGCTTCAAAGTAGATTCAGCTGAACAAAAGTCTTCCTTCACATTGTTTACCCAAGAAAAAGATTTTAGTGTTGATGGCTCAAAAGTCAAATCCAAAGATATTGTGGATAATCTGCTAATTCAGGGTATCTAGCAGAATAATCAACTTCCTGGATGGCCTATTATACCTTGAAAGAGAAGAAGGGAAGTAGAACCATTCAAGTCCTTCACATTAGTGCATGTATTAACTATGAATGTCCTAGGACCAGAATAGCTTGTGAAGAAGATGGTTGTCAGTTTCAACCCCTCGTGCCAAAGTAGATGAGAGATGAGAATCACCCAGGTATGCCCAGAGTAATTGTATATAATATTGGCTTTGTTTTGCCGGGGTATGTCCGGAATAATTGTATGTAATATTGGCTTTGTTTTGTCCGGATATGCCTAATGTACTTGTATATGAAAGTTTTGATCAATGAAATTTATATTTACTGATAAAAAAAAAGATGATCGATGAGAATCAATTCTCTTCTTTACACTTTTTCGAGGTTATCAAACATGATTTGTGGGCTAATCATTTAACATCACTAAACTCAATTTATGACAAAGACTAAATGTATTTTCTTTAACGTCACATATTGTGAAAGGAGATGTACAAATCACGCAAAGCATAAAGAGTTCTATTACACTTCACATAATATATATTTAGAAGTTACAGTTTACGAAAGATGATAAACAGATGTTAGTAGTCAACCTGGATAAGATTTACAAAATGAATAAAATACCTCCACCACTTTAACAAAAGAAATTTTACAAAACACGCCTCGTATAAAGACCGTTGATAAGAGTGTAAAATATGATATTTTCCCCTCTTAATTGTTGCATTCGTATAATTATTTGATGTCGAAATGCACTCATTACTCTTATGTTTTGATCTAGGTCACAATTTGATGGAAAATATTGAAATTTGGAAGAAATGATTAAAAAGGGGCAAAGTGGAAGAAAATGAAAGTTCATGGATCAAGTTGCAAATAATCCATAGATGAGACGGGCAATGGAATGATGATTTAAGAAATCTAGGAGTCAATTGGGTGTAATTTAAAGTCAAAAGAAGTGAAATATGACCATAACATCTTCACAAATCAATTCCCAATTGAAAAAGTTATGCACTGGTCTTTAGCCTCATGTTAAGACCCATTTTTGACATGGAAAATGATTGAATTGGAAGATGACTTCTGAAGCAAAGTTGTAGCCCTTCATGGTATCTATCCAACAGAACTTGAATCACCTCAATCGGACATTGGGAGGAAAAGTTATGGTCAAAATACTAAAAACTGTCTGACGGAGGAAATGGTGACAACCATGCGGTCGCATGGTTGCCTTCCGAGAACTTTTGAGGCCATTTTGGTAGAACTATGTGGTCGCATGGCTTAAAACCATGCGGCCGCATGGGTATTTTTCGAGGGCGAAATCTCAGATTCCTATTTTGAAGCGGACACTTATGGAAACTTGTTTGACACACATTTTTAAGTCCTAATCTCGACTCAGAACGCCATTCTTCCTCACTACATCAATTTTCTCTCATCTTGGATAAATAAACTCCATGGAAGGCTAGAAATCCTTGGTGAAGCAAGGGAGCAACTCGATTGGTATCAATTATTTCAACGTTTCTCATGCTTGTAATATGATTTCCATTGCTAAACAATTTAAGATTTGGATTTCTTATTCTTATAAATATGTTTCGAAATTGGTTTAATATATATAGATTTTCATGGATTTAATCATGTTCTTTCCATCGAATAATTGAAGTATGTATTGAATTCCAATTTCAATCATCCCGTTGGAGTGATTCGCTAATATTATATGCTTGATGTATGCAATTGATTTTGAATCTAATTCCAATTAATTAAAGTGAGAATATCCTGTATTGAAATCTAAATTCTAGAGTTATAAGTGAAATTCAATTGATTTAGGTCTCAACTTCAAGCATTGTTGTGATATTGGTTTAACTTTTACTATATTTCTCATACACTCAATCATGTTTTGTCTATTGTGAAATTAACTATTTGTTGAATTTCAATTTCATACAATTTTATTGGTGATTTGATTACTGCTTTATACTCGAGGTAAATTGTCGTTTCTCAAAGTGATTTGAATGAGTGATTCACATTGATTAATCTGAACCAATCGAGGGAATTTCTGTGCTTCATTATTTCACACATTGAATTAAATTTCGTTACTTTAATCATTGATAGTTACATTTCATTTAAACTGATAAATTCATTACACGAAGCACGAAAAAAACTCTAAGCTTTTGATACTTTAACAAATTTCCCATCTCCCTATAGATACGACATCCCAAAGTCATACTACAACTACTGCGTTATATTTTGGGCGTAATCAACCGTTTTAACACTTCATATACCATATATCCGAAATCACAATGTGCAATTGTTATTTCCTAATAGTCAATAAATAATAAATTCTATTAAGTCTTCATCAATGAAAAAAAAAAGGGAAACAATTGCAAATGAATGTGTGGTAATAGGTATCATTATCATGTTATTTTGAGTTGTATAGTGTCATTCTCTGATATTAGTGATCACTGGTAGCTAATGAATGTAACTAATTATTGTTGGCCATTTAGTTGTTGTAGTTTGTTTGTTGAATGTACAATGAAGGTTGGTTGAGTTTTTTTTGGGTGTGATGATGATGATAATTAGTGATAATATTAGTTAAATGATGTTTACCATCACTGCATGCTAAACAAGTAAACATCAATATTATAATTTTCTAGATTATGTTATGTAAAGTGTGACTAGCTATTATATACAAGGTGTGAAAAATGTAACTTTGCAAAAATGGATTTCTTCGTATAGCTGGATTTTTCATAATGGTAGATTCTGCAATTATCTATTTTTCTTTCACGGAGAGTTAACACAATGTTATTGGTTAACACACGTAATATTACTTTGTAAATTGTACTTTTTGATGTATGATAGGTAAAATGTAATAGCATCCTTTTTATACATGAATTAGTCTACTTGTACATTTTTGGTCGCACATAATGTTTTACACCCCTCCCCCCCTCGCATCCCCAAACTTGTAAGGGTGGGGGGGTGGTCACACATAATATATTATATGTGGACCCCCTACATGTGAGGGGAGTGTAAAATATTATGTACAATCAAAAGTGTACATGTAGTATCACCCTTCTATACATGGGGCATACTATAAATTTCCGCACTCTTTATCAATCTTTACAGCATATTATGACTACAACAAAAAAGCATATGAATGTTGTTTTGGATGTTATGATCTTCACTTTTCCCTTCAACAGCAAATCAACCTCGTGGTAAGGTCAACGGTGCAGGAGTCCCCAAGGAAGAATACTAATATAATTATAGGGGTATATCTGACAGTTTGCATATGTATTGATTCACTCTAATATTTCCTCCCCATATATAATAGGTATTAAGACAAGCCTTTTTTCAGGTGTAGAGAAAACAAAACAGAGAGGTGTGAGTTTCACATACAGCATGTATTCTTCTTTTTTATAGTGAAACCTTGAAGTGGTAAGTGGATTCTTCCATTGATAGTATAGCACTGTAAATCGTGAGTTTTTACTTTCTTTCTTTCCTATTTCGTGTGTTATCGTCTTAATAATATGATATTGGGCATTTAATCTGTGACATGCTGCCAAATAAGGAAAATATCAACTGCCATGAGAGAGAAAATCCATTTATATGCTCACCATCAATTTCTGAACTGCACCGGAATGGTAAATCATTTGATGCGATAAATAGCTTGATGAGTAGTAATCTGTAAAGAATTTAGCAACTTTGACACCGTATGATTCTTCTTGAGACCATGGAATGGCACGAACAAGTACAGTAAAGTGACTTGGGTGGGAATGAGATGCTGTAATATATGCCAATCTCATTTTTGTGATGCTTTTGTACTCCTAAAGACAAGTATAAATATAATATCAATAAGGTTATAGCAAAGAATCATACATTAAACTCTGTATACCCAATCAAAATGAAAATAAAAGGTGGGTTTAGGTTGAAATTCTTACGAAGTAAAGAAGAATACAAGCACAAGAAGATATGACATATAATGCAAGACAGTGTGCCCAAAGCCTGAAAAAAAAAAATCCAAATATAAGGACCAAATTCGAAAGATTTATAGTCAAGACCAAAAGGAGAGGAGAGAGAAAAATTCATAAAATAAGCATTCTAGCATTTTATTATTTACTTCGGTAAATGAATGCGCATTGTGATTCATTTCCTGTCCTTTCAACGAATCCACATAAGCTTTAACAAGGATATATTTTGATTGTAGAATGAAAAAGCTGAAACTCTGAATATGCATCTTTTTTAATTCAAAAGGCACCGATATCTTATTTTTCATCTTTATTTTCAGCCTTGATGAGAGGCAGCATGCACCAATTAGGCTATCATGAAATGTATATATTTATCAAGCTGGCAAGTGGACTATTTAAGTGTCTTGCTGGAAACTCAAAGTAAATTAGCATCTATGCACTCAGTGTAATTAAAATATATGCACCCATGGTATTGTATTGCTAAAATCTTGTACAGCTGTTCCACATTGAGAAAGTTATAAGCCACAGACCATTCTATGGAGGCACACTCTCCACTCAATGCCAAATGGTTTTCAGATCATATGCTTCGTAAGGTTTTAAAACCAGGATTGCATCCTTGATCTTGTTAGCTGGCACACCGTAGCTCCCTACTCATTTACCTCACTCTAAGCAAGTTGAGATTATACTTAACATGAACATAAGCATTAAAAGTTGTCCAACGAAAAACAAGTGTGACCTTCCAGACCAGTATATGAGCCCAGACAATGCCCACTCATCCCCTAAACATTGTTGATTAGAACAGATGTTTAAAAAGCGGACTACTTCAAGCAAATAAGATTCATTCACGGGAATAGAGCAGGCACTTATTCTCAGTAATAGATGTTGACATATTACGTACCATCTTGATCCTTCCTTGACATCCTCAATGGTGAAAACGCTCAACTGCTCATCTCGAATATGTTTATGCTCCTCTTTCCCAAAATAATTAAGTGGAAGCACAAGAAACAAACATATAACACCAGCAACAGAGAATACTCGGATACTGCACATAGTAAAGCAGCAGCATGTATTAGGACAACAGCTGGAATAGGAACACGAGGAAATCAATCAAGAGAAAACAAATGCTTCCCATATCCAGAGAAATGGAGAACACATGCAGCAGCAATGTCAAATTTTAGTTCAATACTGAAGTCCTTTCTGTCGAGGACAAGATGGAAATCAATTGTGACCATGTGCATGTCTCGAAGAATTTTGAAATATTTGAAGGATCTACATCACTCAATAGAATAAAATAGTAAAGAAAGCACAAAAATATTATTTTGATTGTCACGAACACAACAACCTACATAAGAGAGTGAATAAAGCTAATCGCTCCAATTGATAAAATATGTAAACAAACGAAAGGTCTTTCTTCTTCAAGTAAATAACTGCAGTTCCATAATTACTAATAATGAAACATAGTTATATTCCTGGGATTTTGAAATTACGTGTGTTGTCACCTGAAAACAACTGCCCTGAGAAAAACAACAGCATCCAGACCTCCAGTGGCGAATAATTCTTCCTCAGACGCTACCCATGATTTTACTATCCAACTAGCAGAAGGAATAAATCTCTGTAACCAAAATGGATCATTGCGTTTTGACCTCACCTGAGCAAGTTTTTGCCCGAAGTACACGCTCACAAGGCTTGGTTGTTTTCTTAAAATGGAATACAATGAAAACAGCACTGCACACACTGCAGTATTGATACCAGAAGAAGTCAACAGAGCAGAAATGTTCATTTCTAGATTACTGTAACAGAAGTTTTTGGTGTGTCATCATCCAAAAGTGAGGTAAACGATCTTCAAATGTTAAATTGCAAAGAAGTCCAAAAGAGCAATAGTGTAAGAAGCAGTAGTTCGTCACACTTATCCTGAACCTGCAAGAGTAAAACTGGAATGCTCAACTTCTTTATTTTGTAAAAAGACTTAAAAAATATCAACGTTATTCAACCACAAACTATATTCCAAACAAGTTGAAAGTATTCATTTGTCAAATTTTGCACTTTTCTTTGCAGGTTTAAAGGGGATGTCCAAACAGAGAGGGAGAGAGTGAAAAAAAAATAATAATAATTCTTTATACAAGAGAAAATCAAAGTCATCCGTGCATAAATCCAAAAGCATAATCATTACACTTCAGTAAATATCGATGAACAGAACCTGATAAATAAAAAAAATAAAAAATAAGATTGTGACCCTGCATCATGATTCATGTATCAATCAAATTGCATCCCATGTTCAAACAGACAGAAAGTCATTCATATCCACTACCATGAAATCTGGAGTACAGAGTCGCTAAAGTCTTTAAAGCATATTCATAAACAGGCGCATATATATAGTGGAAACATACTAATACAGAGTATTTGCAAGCACCACTGCAGAACCACTGCAGATTAGAGCTTATCCAAATAATAGACACACATATGCGCCTGATGAGTTCACAAGTTCCAATCTTAAAATCGTGCAGTAGATATATTCATGGCCGTCAATCTTATTCCTGTGCCTGACAATATTGCTCAAGGAAGAACAGAAAAATCCGAACAGGAAAATACACCAAAATTCTCATCCAACATTTACGCTGTCAAATCAATACAATAAACATCGTAACCGGGAAAAATAATGTTTACCTTTTTCCGATATGTCAAAGATTCAATAAAAGGCAAACAAATCAAGATTTAAGAGAGTGATTGCTTAGACTTAAGAACTACAAAGAGTGAAAATAAATTACGACTCGAAGAACAAAGAAAACGAAATGGAAACCCTATAAATTTATTGGGATTTGATATTTTGGGTTGAGAGAGATTTTGAAGTTGGCTAGAAGATCAGGCAAGGCCTACAGAATGCAATTGGTAGAGTTTTTCACGTAAAATGTGTGTGTTGTGTGTGTTTGATGCGGGACCGGAGGATAAGCCACGTGAAGAACAATTATGAAATGTGTGCAACTGTCCAAAATGGCGGAAAACCGTCACGTCCTCTCGCTTAACTTCCCACATAACAGAATTTTTAAGGGTTTTTCTATGACTGTACACGTACATTCCACTCACATGAGAAGTCCTATGCCGTCAAGCTTGGTGTACAAAGTGTCATACATCAAGCATGACTCAATTTGAAAATATTTAAATAGTTAATTTGGTTTGTTTCAATTCGCCTTTTTAAAACAACGATCAAGAACGTAAAGGCTAGTCAAGCAATCAAGGGTGGAATTATGTCCTTGGATCCGTCTTAGCCCTTGGCCCTCATTAAATTAACTTTCATTTTTTCTCTTTTCTATTTTTCACCACACAATTTTTTGAAAAATAATATTACACGTAAATCGAAAATTTTTCCTTTCTTTTTAACCATCCATTTTTCAAAAAAATAATATTCCACTCATTACAATTTGAAATAATGGGACCAAACGAGGGCTTAGTAAGTCCCTGTTTGATAGCTATTGTTTGGTCAAAATAATCTTTTGAATAATAATTTTTAGGATAATGTGTTTTTAAAAGGTAAAGAGAAATTTTGAATTTAAATACAGAGTATTTTATTTTGTAAACATGGTTGAAATGAGTATTTAAATAAATAAAAAATAGGAGAAATGCTGGGGGTTTCTGTCAGGGGGGCAGTCAATCCCCTGTTTTCCCAGCATTTCTCAAAAAATAGAGAGTTTTCAAATGATATTTATCAAATAAGGGCTAAGTGCTTGTTTGTTTTTTTTTTTTCTTTTGGGAGATTAGATTTTGTAATAGCAATTTTTTAAAGTATATGTGATTAAAAAGTAGGGAAAATTTTGGATTACATACAAAAATATTTTATTGGAAGAATATATAATTGAAAATAATTTTGAATTTTTTTTTTTAAATAATGAGACTCAGAGGAAATAAATCGAGTTGTTCCTATCGGGATAAACTTTAACACCTATGTATGTATGTGTAGTTATCATATTTTCTTTGACGAAATTTATAATAAATTATTTATAAATGACCAAATTTCATTCAATTGATTCACAGTTACTAAAAGGTTCTCTAAGGAAAATTATTATTATGTGACCTCCATAATAACATTTGTTAAAATGTAGTGAGTTTCTACCACGGTTTTGTAACAACTAATAAACTATGAATAGGTAAATTTGGTTGTGGTCATTGAAATTTAAATGAATTTTTAATTGAATAATTAAATTTTAATTTATTTCAATCGAATTGTTTAAATTCAATTTAATTTCAAATACTACCACTCATTTACATTATGCCAACCCAATAAAATCGATTAGTTAACAATCATGATGCACCTTAAAAACGAGAGTTATGGCAATAGTTTTTAATTTAAATAATTAAAATGTTCTTCTTTTTTTTAACATTTTACGATGGGATGTAGTGATAAATAACATTTCATGCAGAAATTACGAGAAGAACTACTGAACTACTGAAATATGATTGACAATTAAGCAATGTTCATCAATTGAGAGATAACCGATGATGATGTAGTGAAATTTGAAACTACATTAAAATTCAATAACCTAATTGAAATTTTATTTGGAAATCACCCACTAGGAGTCAATGTTGAGTTGTCCTACTATTTCTCCATAATATAATATGAAGATAAAATAATGTATTGTGTCCAAGAATATTCTTATTCGTTTATTTTATAAATAATTGTTTGGACCTCTTTTTCTTGGCGTCAATGCATTCAAAATAAGTCTCGAAAATTCCGTGGGACCCATTTCTTTTTTTATCTTATTTTTCAAACTTTATTTTGACAAGTTCATATTGTGACCATATCTTTTTAAGATAATAATAACGATAAAAACATTTTAATAGTAGCAATTTAGCATGATTAGATTCCATGATCTCTTAAATACCTACTAAACATTTTTTACCAAGTGGATCCATCTATTCTTTTGAAAAGAAGTCAAGATTTCAACTCTTGCTAGACCCCAACGAAAGTTGTCATCATCAACGTTTAAATTCACTAATGTCTAGTCGAAATGTTCGGCATAAAATTCTAGCCACAAATATAGTTTTGGAAACCCTAGTGACAAGATTTGAAGGTAGAGCTTCAAAACACGTGTTCGGTTCAAATTCAAAATTTTTATGGGTCATACGTAACTATTTTTCTCTAATTTCGAACCTTCAATAATGAATGTGCAAAAGGAAATTGGGATAACTCTTGTTTTCCCTCCAATAATTAAGCGAATATTTAGATACACGTTCAAATACAAATATTTGAGTTTTCAATTAAAAATGTTAATCTTATTAAGAGAAATGTTAGTATTCTTATATACTATCTATAAATTATGTGAGATATCCATTCTTACATGTTGGTAGCTCGTTCGAGCTTATAGACGGATCGAATAATTTGTTTGAACATTATGAACTTGGATATATTGAACTTTATAGTCGATCTTATGTTTTTTCTTGACATTATATACCTTTTGTAGCAATTTTCCTAGTCTTCTAATTTGTGGCAGGTGTTGCACGTACAAGTCAAGTCACTAGTCACAATGTTAAAAGAATTCATCTTTTTGGACAGGGCTACGAGGCCTTGTCCGTCCAGGACTTTGAACTGGCATCGAGACCAATTGGGGGGAGGGGGGCATTTTGGCTGGATGGACGTGGCCCTGTCCATCTACCACTGTTGATGTTAAAATGGGATAATTCCACGTCTTCAGTTAAAAGTAATCATGTTTCTCGTCCACTGTGACATTTTCCTCACATTTGCTTGTGGACTGAAATTGCTCCACATCTAGACCTTGCGTTTGAAAGGGTGGGCCTTAAATAATATGCGCTTTATTTTGTGTGTTGGCTATAATTATTTATTTTCGGAGATAATTATGATAGGTACTTTTTTTATTTACTAGGTATATAAATTGCTAAAATATTCACTTGTATGTTATACTCAGCTAAATGATATTTGATTTTTAGATTGAGTCTGAATCACGAATCTTCAATTTTTAATTAACAAACTTTCATCTTTTGATCCAAAAAATTTATGCTTCCAACCTTAAGTCTTCTATGATAATTTTTTAAAGTATAGACTACACTGACATGGTACGTCTTTTTAATTAAATCAAAAACCTAATTTTGAGCAACAAATCAAGAAAATAATAAATTAATTTTCCCCTTTTTTCGAAGCCAGAGCATTTGTACAATGTCATCTCTATCTAATCTAATCTAAATAGATAAAAGTCTCAATTCATGTTGAAGTCTAATTAGGCCATAATTAGTTTAAATGCAAGTATAGTCCCTGAACTTTAATTATAATTACAATTAATTCCAAAATTTTCGTAGTAATTGTAATTAAGCCCAAGACTTTATGGAACTGCCAAATGACCTGCTCAGACATATATTTTTAAGGAGGTACTTTTAAGTTTGGCTTGGTCAAACCATTCAATTTGCACTTTGACTTTTAAACAATCGAATATTTCCACAATGGCCACTTGATTGTTAAAAGGCAAAGATGTCCTTAAATATATTATACAATTACAAAATATTGTTTTGTTTAAAAGACATTATTACCATTTTAGTTAACAAGTAAAAACCAAACACTTCCCACTTAAAATTTCAAAATCAGATAACTTTTATCATCTATTTATGCCAACAAGGATAAAATTTCCCTCATATTTCATCCTCTTCAACCTCAAAATCTCAGTAATTTATCAAAAGCTGAATAAGTAATTTTTATTTTTTTTTATATCTCAATCACTTTGAATCGATAAGTATATTTACATATGTTTAATTTCATTTTCGTCATATTAGTACACGCTTTAATTGATAAATCTTATTTCGATATAGTAATACTTGTAGAAAAAATTTTACCAGATCTATAATTTTTTTAAGCATGAACAAGGAAAAACTCATCCGCATGTTGAGACTGATCAGAGTAACTGTCATAACAATTAATAGCTTGACCAGATAGCTATTACAACTGACTGCGCTAACTATTAAGTCGACTGTAAATTTTTTATTTTAAATAAATTTTGCCTTGTAGGTTGAGCCAAATTTCTGAATATTTTTTTTTATAATTAAAATTTCTGTTTCATATTGCGTATACGGTTTTAATTCTAGTTTGTTACTTTTGTAATTTCGAATTAGATGAAAATTGTGGATGGGTATAGAAATTTACGAGTAATATAAAGGGTGGTATTTCAATTTTCGTAATAGAGAGTACATCATACGTGAGAATATACCATAATTTACAAAACAAGCTCAATGTCGTTCCCTCTCAGTATGATATGGAACTGAGATTTTTATTCCACTGATATTCATCCATTTCGATTCCATATTTCCATCTATGAAGGGTACTTCTGATGTTGAACTGAATTATCTATTAGAATTTAACAAAATGCATACAACTTCGATTTATCTTTGTGTAACTTTAAATAGGAAGGATGTCGTCTAAAGCGAACACGAAGATTCAGATGGAGCGAATAACAAAGCCAATGATTTTTAGGACACAGTGGAGATGGCTCGTGAGGATGATGTACTAATTCCCAAGACAATTGTTCTTTATCGTGATCTCATTGTTATGCATAGAATTTCGTTGGTAGTTCACAGCAACAAGAATGAAAATGAATTAACAAATAAGGATTTGATTGTATTATCCCATCAGAGACATGGGCGGGGTAGGAGCTCAAGAGCTTAATCAAGTGGAGCATCCTCTTCGCGTGTGTTTCCCGATGATGAGGATTTACACGTCGAGCAATTGTTTGAAATAAAGAAATATTTACAGGAAGTTGTGCACTGGATGACATTAAAATACAACTTGTAATTCAAGGTAAATAAATCAAATAAGTCCTTGTTGACGATTGTCTAAGACGATAATAGTTGATGATGGCGCTTTGTGAACGACTAAAATGGACACAAATGAGTTATTTGTGATTCGCAAGTATATACGGGAGCATACTTGTGAAGTGGAAATTCGTCGAAATGATCACAAACAAGTTCGAACATGATTTATTGGTCAACAGATAATGCACAAGTATCAGGACCCATAGCCGATCTATA